GGGTCTTTAATCCCACCCACTTTCAAGTGTGGTACTCCAGGCATCTCATCACATCAAAGTGAAGATGCATCCTGTATGATGTGAAGCTAAGCCCTGTGTGTGTTTCAGAATAGTTGGATATAAAAACATCCACAGCTGGGTGGAGGAAACAGATGGTTAACATTTATGATTTCATGACCTGGTGTCCAACTGGATTAGTGAAAATTTAATCTCTCTACATGATACTTCAGATCCCCCCAAATAGCTCTCATCTGGTGATGGTCAGGGATCCCAGGGGAAGGAATCCTGCCTCCTCTTTATTATGCAGTGTGGCCTGACAGTGCACATAGGGTAAAACCCTGGGGGCTAGAGTATGTGACTGAGTGTAAACCTTTAAACACCTTGACCAGTGACTAAGTCCTGTTAGCTCTCATGGGCTTGCTAACTTAAGGACTAGGACTAGGAATGCCAAATGCCTCGGCTCTCCTCTCCAAGGCCACCTGTGGACTATGCAAGGGCAGTAGTGGGGCCACTGCTCGGCTTCGTTTGGTCTTTTGAGACCGTGCACCTAATATTTCTGAGCACAGAACACTTTTTTTGTGTGTCTTAAATCAAGACGAGGGTAGCTGCTCTGCTACTCTTGTGCATGGTTGTGATTGTGGCCACAGCTGTGGGAGCATGTCCAGATGAGTCCTGGTGGGATGCAGCTCACAGACCTCAGAATCCTGCAAGCCAGATAAAGGTTTGGGACCTGACCCAGTCCAGTGTTCTCTCTCCTGTGACTTTCATTTCTTAGACTTTTTTTTACTTATGTGTTGAGATTTACACACACACACACACACACACACACACACACACACACCAGCCAGGGCAAGTTTTCCCTCAATTCCAGCAGTGATTGGAGCAGATACCATGGAACATGAACTTAAGGAATAAAAGATACCATGGAATATGAGCTTAAGGAAAAAGGATTTTGGCTCACAGGAGAATGGAGATTCCTAGACAAAGCTGCCTTCTCTGACATACACATCACGTCTCTGTATGCCCACCATCCTGAGATGGTGGGCACACACTATCTCATGAGCTGCTGTAGCAGGGAAGGCTCTGATGGGTGGGGATGGGTGGTAAGAGGAAGCACATTGCCCTGTGTCTCATCTACTGGCTCAAGGATCCCGGTTGCAGTTTATTGGTTCTTGACTATGAAGCATCATGTAGACAGCAAAGACACCTTTCCCAGAGACCCTGTGGTCCTGTGTGTGTGTGAGACACAGGCATGATGTGGGAGAGACACAGGGGAGGTTTGTCTTATAAGTACTGCATATCACTGAAGTTTGCCTCAGGTTTGTAAGTCCATCAACAAACAAAGTGAGCTGGCTATAACAACCTGAAGGATTCTAACAACTGGCATTATAGCAAAGCATGGCATTTAATTTTGAATAAACTGATAACCATATAGCCCAGTGTCTACAGTGGGAAGCCACATATAATCTTACATTTTTTATTCATATAAATGGCAAACAGAAACTTAATATTGTTTAGATACTTTTAAGGTCTAAAAGGTCATATTCTTACAGAGGAAATGCTATGTAAATTGTATTTAAAAGCTTGCCGTGGTGCATGATTTCCTGACTAGTCAGGAAGGAGATTTTGCCTCTCATTCCCCTCCTCTGCCCTGGCACACTCCTTCGCAGCAGTATTCTGGACAAACAGCCTCCCTGAGGAGAGTCTTGTCCGAAGGTCAGGAGCAGGCAGTGAGGGCTTCAATGACTGCACCAGAACAGTGACAGCGCTCTGCAGGAGCCTCCCCTAGAGCTGACCACAAAGCAGGGAAATTTCCATTTGCAAACCTCCGTTTGGTTTGGAATTCCATGAGAATGGTCTTAGCAGAACCACAGCTGTTGGAGCCTTTCTGTAGTCTATTTGCTTAAACTTCGGTAACTTCTTAAAGCTGGTATGGTTCACAGTTAATCCTCTAATACGAACGTGGCTGTTTTAATTGTACAACTAACACTGCCTCGCTGAAGACTGCTGTACACAAACGTGCGCTGGAGGGAAGTGTGTTCACACCAGTCAGAAAGCTCAGGCATTCATTCCCACCTATAGGCTGTTCAGGAAGCCATCCCATCTTGTTAGTGAGGGCTTGTGTGTGGAAATGGGCGGACCGTGCTGTCTGTTCTCAGGTTAAGCTGAGGTAATGGGTGATAAGACCCAGTCTCCTTTAACGCCACCTCCAAAAGGGAAGTTGGATACCTCCATCTCTCTTTTTTTTTTGAGCTGGGGAGCTGTGCAGCCAGCCTGAGCTCCCAGTTCGGGTAACCAGATTTCTGAAGTGTGACCCTGACTTTAATGCGGGACAGCATGATTGTCAGATTGCTTAGAACCTGTTCAGCACCAGCTTCACAGAGGTGTGGTTGACAGGTTTTACTGCAGGGTGGGAGGTGTGCTACTGGCTATCACAGGGTGGCAGCAGAGCTCTTGCTGGAGGAGGGAGCAGAGTGAGGTGTGCTACATGCCATGCTCAGACCACAGGACAGGACTCAGCCAACTCATCCTGCCCTCTGTGCTGAGGGTAGCATGGGACATTGAGGAATTCAATGGGACACGATTAACTGGAAATATGCTTCCAAAAGTCATGTGGGGATCATGTATGTCAGGAGTAAGAGCGATATAGGCTTAAGAACACAGCAAGCATGCTTTTGGAGGTAGCTGAGTTTCCTTTTCCTGAATGACTAGGAGCTAGAGGCAGCTCCGTCCCAGGTCTCCTGAACAGAGACAGCCCTGACAGGTGTGGGCCAGACCACACCACTGCCTTAGCATAGCTTTCAGCATGGAGACTCTGTTAGTTATGGGCACAGTAAGATGCTCACTTACTGCGCATTCTTTCAGGATTTAGGACCTTTAAATGGCCAATCCCAAGCTGCCCTTTTAGAGTCTTCTGTTGCTTGGTTCTTCTCTCAGGCTGTGAAACGAGGGAACCAAGTAGTTCTGAGACCACTTCCCAAGTCAGAAGATATTCTAAAAGTGACAGTCACCTGTCCCTCACGGAGGCAGTGTGAAGAATGGGCCGACCAGGAAAGCCAGCTCTGTTTCTGTCTCATACAGCAATGTTTCCAGACATTTCCACATGAGACTCGAAGCATGTCCTGCTTCTGACTTCACTTTCCTTCAGTGGCTAAGCCCGGAGGAAAAGCTCTACAGCCCGTGGGGTGCTGGGGTACCCGTCTGTCCCTCTGGTGTTCACAGTCATCCTCACATCCTCATTACTGTGGGCCAACAAGTCCTTCTGATGCCTCGACTGACGGAAAGCTGGATGGAGGCTTCGTTGGGGGTGGTCATAGGTCAACCAGCGGACGTCATGCCCTGTACCCATCCTCCTTGGAGTCTCCTGACCCATGTGCCTGGTGAGCAAGGCTTCAGGTCCCCAGACTTCCCTAGCATCACCTCTCCTGAGGATCTTCCTGCAGTGCCATGGGCAGAGTGAACATGCCAAATGAAACAGTTCTCACATGGAGGGAACTGAATGTCTCCAAGTTCCATAATAAACTTGTCCGTGGCAAAGAGGCTTAAAGAGCCAGTGTGGGCGGGAGTGCTGCACACTACATACTTCTGTGTTATTCTCTTCATCCTTATGACAAAACACCTGACCAAAAAATTGAGAGGTGAAGGATTTGGGGGCTTACTACTTAAAGGTTTATCGTCCACTACCGTGGGCTAAGTATGACAGCTGGGGCTTCGTCTATGATGGTGAGAACCTGCCCAGGGTTTGTTATGTCTTAGCAGATCAGAAAGCAGGAAAGTAGTTGGGAAAGAGATATGGTCTAGAACCCTCAAGCCACAGCCACAGCTCCTAAACACACATGTATCTAGGGTAGCAATGAATGTGGCCCAAAATCAAATTTATAACTTAAAACATGAGGGGATTGGTTTTTGGGGCGGTTAAATTGACTGCACAGGTCTCCGGGCAGGAACGCTGTCGATGACAACATCCTGTTGCAATGTCAAAAGGTTGGGTATGCTTGTTACTTCAGGCATCCACAGCCCCCTCCAACAGCACCCCTCCCAAGGGCAGCTGGGAACCATGCACTCAATCATAAGCCTGTGAGGGACAGTTCACATTCAAGCTCTAACAGCACTTACATAATAGTGTGTGTGTGGAGCAGGTCACAGGATGTGCAAGGAAAGTACCTGAATGTTTCTTCTTGCCTTGGGGAGGCAAGTGCGTTCTCTACATTAGTGCCAGCTCTTGAGCTGTCTCCACTTTTCTCATTCCTATTCTTCCGAAGGCTAGAAGACAACTGGGCCACACTGTCCTGCCCCTCAAGTCCCCTCCAGCAACACAGGGAGTCCTCCACCAGTGGCTGCCAGTGCAGGAGAACTCTGCCTAGTATTCTGCAGGGTCTGACCCCCTCCCACACCTCTGCAGCTTTGCCTGGCTTTCTCCTTTACCCGCTTCATGCTATTTGGCAATGGCCTCTCTGAAGAAGAGACCGATTCCAATCATGACCACAGGTGGCAGGTGGAGCCCCAGGATCGGATCCTTGACTGAGGACGATTTCATTTATTTGATATATATTTGTTGTAATTGAGTAAGATTGTTGTCCAGAAAAGTCAAGGGAGACTGCCAACACATTAATAAAGTTAACGAGGTTTTGTAGCCACACTGAGCTTCCTCGACACACGGTCTTGCTTCTGAAGGTACTTCTACTGGGTTTAAACTTGACGTTGACGGCTGGCGATGTCCAACTTAATGGAACTAGCCACGTGTTGGTTTTACTTTACCGTGGTCAGAGCCTCTTTTGGTGACACCTGTTGCCTGAACTGGGCTCTTAGTCTTGTGCCGGGGGTGGGGTGGGGTGGGGTGGGGGCTGAGTAATTATGTATTTCCTCTCCACCAAACTCCAGTGCTAATCAGACGTTTGGCCACCAGACAGACTACTAACTGCTACTGATGGAGGGTCTGGGGTAAAACCATTTCACTCAACGATGAAACTCAAATCTTCCTGCTTTCCTTCTGTGAACAGGAGCAAGAATATGGAGAGTGATGTGGGCCCCTGACACCCCACAAAGGAAGCAGCGGAGGCAGGCTCCAGACGGCAAATGAAGAAGGCCTGGGATACACAGGAACTGCCGTTCCAGACACCCACCCATAGGTGGAGTGGTCCCTAAGTGGACTGCGTGGGTGGAGAGCTGCCACCCAGGACTCGGAGAGACACACCTTAGCTGAACTCTGGGCTGCACAGCTGGAGGCTCAAACGGAGCCGAAGCCAAGGATTTCAATGTGGTCACAGCCCCTTAAGAGAGGATTTGCTGGTCCTGGGGCCACAGCGTTGTGAGGCAAGGTGACACAGTGGGTTCACACAGAGTCAAATGAAGGGCATGCCTTGGTGGACCAGACTCATTTAACCCCAGTTCTCCAGAGGAGCCGTACAAGAGAGCCGCAGCTCAGGGCTGTCGGACGTGCAAACTGCAGCAAAACTCTGGCACCAAGCTGGTTGGTTCACCTCCACCCCAACGGATATAGCCAGAGCGGAGGATCCCGCGGTTCAAAAGTTCAGTGGGAGTTGGGCGCGTCCTCCTCGCACGAGAGGAGAGTGGGAAGGGCAAGGTGGGAGTGGCGTGAACAGGGGGGGTAGGGGGGGGTGGACATATGTGAAATCTGATCTAGTGCCAAGGAAAGGGTGTGCTGCCAAAGACCCCAGGGCAACGACCATTCAGCCTCCACCAGGCATGTGTGACGCCTGAGCTGGTAGAGACTGCACACAACCCAACTCACTCATGGAGAACTCTGTGGCGTCTTTCGTCCTCTACCCGGGGACTGAGCCCGGGACTCCGAGAGAGGACAGCCTGCCGCTGCCAGCCGAGGAGGAGGGCGCTGCGTCCCCGGCGCAGACACCCTGCAGTCTCAGCACCTCGCTGTGTTTCAGCTCCGGGGACGACTCCCCACCGCAGTCTCGCGCCTCTGCCGCGGAGGGCGCCGAGGCTTCTCCTCCTCCTCCTCCTCATCGCAGCGACTTGCGCGTGGTGGAGACGCAGTGGGAAGTCAGCAGCGCCGCGTCCCCGGAGTCCCCGGAAGAGTGCTCGCGCCCGGAAGAGCCCGCGTCGCCGGAGGAGCCCCCTTCCCGGCACGAGGACGCGCGTCCTGCGGAGTCTCTAGACGAGCTCGGGGAGCCCGTGCCGGTGCCGCCCGGGGTCGGGCCCGCGCACGGAGAACCCGACCTGGTCATCGAGGTGGCGGGTCGCCGGCTGCGGGCGCATAAGGCGGTGCTGGCGGCGCGCAGCGACTACTTCCGCGCGCGCGCGTCACGGGACGTGCTGCGGGTGCAAGGCGTGAGCTTCACGGCCCTGCGGCTGCTGCTGGCCGACGCGTACAGCGGGTGCATGGCGGGCGTGCGGCCCGACAACGTGGCCGAGGTGGTGGCCGGCGCGCGCCGCCTCCAGCTGCCCGGCGCTGCGCAGCGCGCCACCGATGCCATGGCGCCGCAACTGAGCCTGGACAATTGCTACGAGGTGCTGAGCGCAGGCAAGCGGCAGCGGCTGAACGAGCTGCGCGACGCCGCCTACCGCTTCATGAGCGACCACTACCTGGAGGTGCTGCGCGAGCCCGCCGTCTTCGGCCGCCTGTCCGGTGCCGAGCGCGATCTGCTGCTGCGGCGCCGCCTGGGTTCGGGCCGCGCCAGCCTGCTGGCCGCCGCGCTCGGACCAACCGGGGAGCGCGCGGGCAGCCGTCCGCAGAGCCCGTCCGGGGACGCGGAGTCGCGCGGGGACGCGGCCGTTTATTGCTACCAGGCGGAGGCCGGGGAGTGGCGCGAGCTGACGCGGCTGCCCGAGGGCGCTCCAGCGCGCGGTTGCGGCCTCTGCGTGCTCTTCAACTACCTCTTCGTGGCGGGCGGTGTGGCTCCCGCGGGTCCCGATGGCCGCGCGCGCCCGTCGGACCAAGTGTTTTGCTACAACCCGGCCACCGACTGCTGGAGTACCGTGCGGCCACTGCGCCAGGCGCGCTCGCAAGTGCAGCTGCTGGCCCTGGACGGCCACCTGTATGCCGTGGGCGGCGAGTGCCTGCTCAGCGTGGAGCGTTATGACCCGCGAGCGGACCGCTGGACCGCGGTAGCCCCTCTGCCCCGGGGCGCCTTCGCAGTGGCCCACGAGGCTGCAACCTGCAACGGCGAGATCTACGTGTCCGGGGGCTCGCTGTTCTACCGCCTGCTCAAGTACGACCCCCGGCGCGATGAGTGGCAGGAGTGCCCATGCAGCAGCAGCCGAGAGCGCTCTGCTGACATGGTGGCCCTCGACGGCTTCCTTTATCGCTTTGACCTGTGCGGGAGCCGCGGTGACGCTCAGGCTGCGGTGGGTCCAGGTGGCGGGGTCAGCGTCTTCCGCTACCATTGCCTGGCCAAGCAATGGAGCCAGTGTGCTGTGCACCTGCGGCCCCCGGGTGCGCCATCGGGCCTGCAGCCCTTCCGCTGCGTCGCCCTGGACGGTACCATCTACTGTGTGAGCCGCGCGGGGACCTGGCGCTACGTGCCTTCTCAGGACACTGAGGCTGGCGGCGAAATGGGACCTGGTGGCAGCTTTGAGCCCGAACCCCTAGGATCCCCTCTGGATGTCCGGGGCGTACTGTTTCCATTTGTGCTCAACCTGCCTGAGAAACCGGACCGCGGGGAGCAGGGTGCTGCCTAGGACAGGATCAGCTGGGCAACTCCACCGTCCAGCAGCTGGGGGGGGGGTGTCTGTGCAAGTGGGCTAGGGCCCCCCCAGTGGGGAGGGAGGGCAAAGAGGGCTCAGGAAAGGAGGGAGCTATCGATAGGGCAGGCTGCTGGCCACAGTGCATCATGCCACCGCTTTGCGAGTAGAAGCTTGGCTGGTTCTGAAGACTTTTTTGCAATGCTGTTTTAAGCCCCGCTTTGCAGCGCTGGATTCTCCTGTTGCTTCGCTTGGTTAGTGGGGTTGATGGCATAAAGTTCGGGAAGATGCAGATAAACCGATGCCTAAGGGTAGAGGCCACGGATGAAGCCAGATGCGAGGGTGGACATAAGGTGTGATGAGGAACCTGCCCAGTCCCTTCCTTACGGGTGACTGCAAGGTTCTCAAGCCTGACCAGGGTCCTAGAGTAGGCCAGGCATCAATGCAACTGCAGCGGGGGAAGGTCGATTCCCACACTGAGGTTTAAAACCATAACTTCTAAGATCTACACGACCTGCAAAGTTCACTGTGTGAGGCTTAACTTGAAAAAGAGTAATGCGTCAAGTACTGAAGGTCAATCTTTGTTGACCAGCATGGTTTCTAGTCCCAAACATACTGTGTCCAACCACAGACACACAACCAGGCCTGTGTTTTGGAGCGGAGGCGTGCTTTGAGGCAACTGTGGAGAAGATGTTATTAGTGAGAGTGGTCGTTTATCTTTGCTTAGATTTGAAGTCTTTGGTGATGACATGCTATCCGGCAGCATGCTGAACGGGAAAGCATGGCCGGCAAGGGAGTCTTCTTACTGAAAGGACCCTAGGACGGCTCTGCATGCTCCCCTACTTCCCCGTTTTAGAATGAACTAGGGCAAGCTTTCCCCACTAAAACAAGTTAAAGTCATGTGTTGGTGGTTGCACGGTTTGAGCTCTCCGCTTGGTTATGTTTTGAACATGTCTTCTGTGGTGTTGATGAGGGGGATGAACTGACAACCATCTCCCAAGAAAGTGTAGGAGAGTGATATGCTAAGGAGTAGGACAAGGAGAAATACATGTGTTTTGCATGTAGTTTAGCAAGTAAGTGACATTTATCTAACTTCCAAAATACCCTCATAGAGTTGAAAGGAGACTCGTACTCAGAGAAGGTTGCAAGGACCAAAACCAAATCATTTCATTTTTCTCTCGTGTGTTAGGATGTCGGATATTTTGAGTATATACGGACAAGGCTTCCTGTTTATTAAGACATTAGGGACAAAATGCATGCTCCCAAATAACTGGTTCAGATTCCACATCTAGCCTCTTGTTTTATTACAACAGGGTCCCTACACGTTGAGAGTTTCTAGAACATACATAGAGGAAGCTCCACATACACCTTATCTCCATAGAAGTCGGTGGTTAGCTGGGAAATAGGTCAGACTTTAAGAGTCTGCTCTGAAAGGTCATAGTGAAGTGTGTTTAGAAACAACCCGCGTGGTTATTCTGTATGACCCAGGGGAATGGAGTTTACAGATTCTGTTTGTGTGTTCCGGTCACTTTGTGCTTGCTCGTGATTACTCATAAACCAAGAAAATGTCTTAGCAACTTGGTTAATCATCTTAGGAAAGAAAAACAGACTTCTTATGGCCTGGTTTTGTTGGTCTGTCTTAAAGGTGTCCTGGGGAAAGGTCTGCAGATGAGCAAAGTGAAGCGATGTTTAGAGAGAGAAACCTTTTTCCCTCTGGAGTTTTGTTTCTGTTACTAGCACTTTTGAATGAAATCGGTCCCTATTTTCCATTCCTCAAGTACCACACTTCCAAAATACCGTTATGTAGCTTTTTCCTCAGAAGTCATTCCTCTGACGTTCACTTTTGAAATCTGGCCTCTTGAGTGACATGTCCCCGGAGAGGGCAGATGTACACCAGACAGGGGAGTCTTCCTGTGAGGACTGGCATGCTATTGTGCCCCACAGAACACAAACAAAACCCAAGGAAATCAAAAGGGTAAATGTATTAATTTGTGAGTCGTGAAAGGAAAATTAGTTCATTAATCACGAATAGATGTGTGGCCAACCCATTTTTAGAAAACGTATATTTTATATCCTGTTTTTAAATAGTGACCCCATATGAAAACGTACTACAGGCCCTGGCACGTCTTAGCAACCATGCATTTTGTTCTTGGGACTGGGAAGACCTACTGCCCATCTGTCTTAGAGTCATTTCATGTTGACATAAGCAACTTAAGGGAGAGAGAGCTTATTCTGGCTCAGAGTTCAGGTTACAGTCCCTCATGCTGTGGAAGTCACGGGGCAGGACCTTGAGGGAGCAGGTTATATTGATCTTCAGTCAAGGGACAGCACTGGATGCATATTACTGCCCAGCTCCCTTTCTCTGTGTAAACATTCCCAGGACCCAGTCAGGAAACAGTGTGGCCCATAGTGAGCAGTTCTTTCCATTTCAATTAATGCAATCAAGGTAATTCCCAGCAGGCATGCTTAGAGGCCCATCCTCCAGGTGATTCTAGAGCCTGTCAGTAAACACTGACCTTTGTGCCCCCCACCCCCACCCCAACAAACAGAGGAACTCTATAATGTATTTGGTTTGGTAGTAAGGGGAGCAGGCATCTCTGAGATGTGCCTCCGGTGTGTGAACCAGGGTAGGTCCTTTCGTGTTCTACATGCTGGTCACACTCTGCATCTAACTCCACCTAGAAGGGTGGTTGGTGTGAGCACAGATAGGGCTATCGGTTAAAAGAGTCAAATAAGGCGTTTGTGACACCCATTTCACAATCTCAGGACATTAACCCTTGCACACTGACATCCCAAGTCTTCTAGAGAACAGTGCTGCTTCAAGAGGAAAATGATTAACACACAGAAAGGATTGACCTTTTGCTTGGTTGATGGGTAATTACATTTGTATTGCCAGGGTTCATTTGGGATCCTAGGCAACAAGCTAATGTTTCTTGGTTTTCTTTCTGTTTTGTACTTTGGCATGGGACAAGCCCCACCTCTAGCACAGACTCTTGGCAGCTTCGTGGACTTGGAATGTGGTGATTCGGTTTCTAAGGAAAGGATGGCAGGAGTTTCTTTTGCTCCAAGAAAATGAATATTGTGGAAATCTTGCTGGCTGTTTATAATTTTTTACCTGTATTGGTTTTGCTATGTCGGAAAAACAAAACAAAACAAAAATAAACAATGCACAGTGATCTCTAGTGATCCCGGTGGTGCCTGCCCCAGCTGTTAGCAGACTTTCTCCAGGGTTGAAGTTGAATGCCTCCGAGGGTCTGATGAAATCAAGGTGAGTCAGGGCGCGACCATCCGGAGTGTCTTAGTGGCCGACGGGGCCAAAGCGCTCTCTGGTGTGATGTCAGTTCAGATGCCTTCTCTAACTTACAGTTTTCATTTTGATTCTCAAAAATGTCTAATGTCCCCGTTTCTTCTGTGATCTTAGTCACTGGGAAGTAATGACCCACGCTAAAAGTGGAACTGTGCCAGCTCTCTAGCTAGCTGCATCTACCTTTATCCGAGCTGTCATGCCATTTATGCTCTGTCCACATCCATGAAGAGGGCCGTATTGGGAGACGCTGAAGAACCTGGCAGGAAGCTGGTCCCGGCAGCCGCTTCACATGGCTTGGTGGACCGGTTTGGGTTGAAGAAAAAGTCTAGGTGTATTCTAATGTGAGACTGCAGCCACCACCACCCCGGCCCCCCACCATGCTTGGTAAACCTCTGACCAGTACCTACTAACTAGTTCGCACATGCTGCCATTTAGTCAAGATCTGCACCTGTTTAAGGGACAGCCAGGCCAGCTGTTACTGGGTGTGTAGTTGCTGTGCTAACGCTTGAGTTTTATCCTAGGCATAAATACTGTAAACTCTTTGTGTTTGTTACCTATGCCAAGACGAAATAAACCATGTGGAAACTGCCGGCGCTTCCCAAAATTTTGCTGTGCTTGCTTCTCCCTTTGAGCCCCAGAATGGCAGCTGTGGTGTGTCCCCATCATAACCGGATTCTAAAAATGAGTCTTGAGAGACCTAGGGTTAGTATCAAGGCAGCCAGCTTCGAAGGATGCTGAGGTCTCCTCTCCCTCTCAGTCAGCCTCAGGACGTTCATGACCTCCATCTTTATACTTGTCCTCATAGTTAGCCAGGTCACAGCCAGGTCCTGCCGTGGAGGATGGGGTTATGGAGCCATGATGGCTGGGTGTGGAATCATGAGGTTCACACAGCTGCCAGAACCAAGAAGTGGTCACTGCATGCCATGGGTGGGTGGGTGGGGTGGGGTGGCTGGGAATCCAGGACAGAGTGAGAGTGAGCCAAGCCAGGCCTCCTGTAGGGGACAGGCAGAGCTGAGCAGACTGCTCATTGTTGGCAGGTGTGACTGTTCTGGGTTCTGGGCTTTGGGGTTCCTCTCCAGCTCCTTGGCTCTGTCTGGCCTTTGGGATCCTCTTTGATTCTCTGGCTCTGGGCAGTTCAGAGCGTGGGAAGCATAGTTTTGCATCTGAAAGTCAGAGAAGGGTGTGGCTGTGTTGTCTGAGGGACATGTTAGCCAAACCTTGTGCTGCTGTTCCTAGGAACTGACTGATTCGGGGTAAGGGGTGTCTCTCACCAGCAGCAAGCTCTAGCATGCCAAAACATCTTAAAACAGAAAACACAAGGTAAGTCACATCACTCAACCACACCTCTTGGAGAGGGTTCACAGGGAACTGGAGATATCTTGACATTCCCTTTCTCCCTATGAGCACCACCTGATTTAACTGGGATTCCAGAGTGTATTGGGACTGGGGGGCCTCCTACACATCACATGGCCTCCTGCCATACCCAGAAAACTCAAAATAAACCAGAACAGGCTCAGCAGCTGAGAAGAGGGGACCCCACTGAACAGAGGGGACCCAGATGAGCTGAGGAGAACCAGATGAGCTGAGGAGAACCAGATGTGCAGAGCAGACCCAACTGAACACAGGACCTGGGGAAGCATGGATGACTCCTAAGAGCTTGGGACACCCAGATGCGTGGGTATTGCCTGTATGACTTGGGTAGGGAGAAGTTGGCATTGGCTTGGGAGGCATTTAAATCAGGTGAGCTTAGCCAGTCCTGGACAGGGGCCACTGAAGGGACTCTAGCCAACCTGAGCATGGCAAACATGGCTCTGGCAGGCCTTGCTCTTCTCCCCCTATTCCCTCTGCCTTGCTAAAAACCCTTAGATGACATTCCTGAAGCTAGCCTCTAAGGTGTATTCCCTTATTTGGCCACTTCCTCCTCCTGAGGCTGACTACCAAGGTCCAGCTATCAAAGTATTGAAGTCCAGCAAACAAAAGTCCCCTTTTGACCACCCTAATTAACATGTCCAGCTAAAATTAAACGAATCAATTGAAATTAAACACCTCATCGTAACATGGGGTTTCCCCTTTTACCTTATGAACTGCCATGTGCCTATGGGCTATGTCTGTCTCCTCTCTATTCAGAGGCAGTCCTTTGTCCCTCCCAGGACAAATATCCCTCCCCCCTCTCCCTTCTCCCCTTTTCTTTCTCCCTTGTCCTCTGTCTCCTGTCTTTGTCTCTTATTTCCTGCCCTTTGTCCTTCTGGGGCAAATAAATCTCTTTTGTCCTGAGAACTTGGTCTTGGTGTGTCCTGAGCTGATACCAGTCCCTTCAGCCCCTGGGAAGGGAAGCCCAAATCCTTGGAGGGCCACAAAGCATGCTCTTTGGAGGGGCAGACCCCAGGGTAGCCTAGCATGGAGGGAGGGACTCCCTATTCCCTCCTCTGTAGGGGGAAAAGCTGGCATATGACTGATGTTCTCCTGCTGGAGAGGGGTGTAAGCCTTGGACCCTAGGAGAATACTCTTGCTCTTAGGGAGAGCCAAATTTCCAGTGTGTGTGTGATGGGAGGGGATGTCCAGATTCTGCAGGAACTTTGAGGATGCCCACACACTATGTGTTTGTCTCAGGGTCTGGAGTATCAGAATGTTAAAACACAAAATTCTGAAAACGAGGCTCCAGGGTTTTGAAGGCCCGTGAGCCTGGACTCCAATATATTGTCTGGACTCCAGTCCTGCTCCTTGTATCAGACATGGATACAAAAACAACGAATCACTCTTTCTGTATCTGTTTCCTGCTCCTTATGTTCAAGATGACATTTGGATATTTAGGCGATGGTTCAGTGGTTGCCTTGCAAACACAAGACCTGGTTCCATCATCAGATTGAACCTAAAAAACCAGGGTGTGGTAATATGTGCTTGTAATCCAAGAAATGGGAAGGTGGAGACAGGTGGATCTCCGTGCCTTGTGGTTAGCCAGCCTAGCTTATTTGGTGAGTCCCAGGCTGGTGAGACACTGCATTAAAAAGCTGAGTTAGGTAGTTAGTGCCTGAGGACCCACAGCAATGGTTTTCACTGTTGTGGTTGTCCTTGGGCCTGGACATGCTTGAGCATGTGTGTGCATTCACACCTAAACATAGGCCACAAACGACATCTAGCTGGAGGCTCCTCCTGGCCACTGCCCACCTCCCACTCAGCTCCTTGTCCTATGCATTTGATGTGAGGTGGTGTCAAACGTGGCCAGAGGATTTATGCCTCTCTCTAGATGGGGCGACTGCTCCTAAGTAAGCTCTACAGTCTTTTCATGGCTGGATTGCGATTTTCTTTCCAGGGCTGAAAACTACTACTCTGCTGTCTCGATATGCCACGGTTTACCTGTTCACCTCCTGAAGAGTGTCTTGGTGGCTTCTAAGGTTTTAGAATTATGAGTAAAACAGTCACATACGGGTTTCGACGTGAACACGCTTTCAATTTATGTTCCTTTGAGACCAACTCCATCACATTGTATTGTGTACTTGATAATACTCTCATTTCCGGCATATGGTTCAATGGCTTCCGTCCCAATGTATTTACATCCAAATGCGTGTCCATGTACTCAGAGAATCAGACAAAGAGTGGTGGTGCATGTCTGTAATCCTAGCACTTGGGAGGCTGAGGCAGGAGGATTGCCATGAGTTTGAGGCCAGGCTGGGATATATAATAGGTATCTTGTCAACCTGTGGTTATGGGCAGGGGGATGGCCACATCTGTTGCTTGGTCTGAGGTGTGGCTGGCAGAGCTCTGCAGCCCAAATCTCCTTCCATTCATGACTACAATGTTGAGGTTTGTGATCCTGGGGTGGTTCTCAGGTCACTGTTCTGACCTTAGCCTGTCTCTGAGGTGGTGTACAGTTCTATCCTTCAATCAGAACAGCCTCTATCTTCCTAAGACCAGCTGGATCTGCTTGCAAAAGTTCGTCATAGCCAGGCATTATCGACTTTCGACATCCTCCTAGAATGAGAGGGATGGAGGATTATTGGACCCTCACTTGAGTGTACCATCCATTCCTCCCAGCCAGTTGTATGCAAGGTTGCCTTAATTGCGTGTGACCTCAGGCTCTTGAGGAGAAGCTGAAGCATAGAGCTGGGAAGACGAGGGTAAGGATGGGGTGGTGGTGGTTCTATTTAAGCAGCCACAAGGGAAGCCATCATTCATTCTGGGGGCAGACCTTCTAGCATGGCCGTTTCAGGGTCACCTACACTCTGTTAATGAGCCTAATAAACTCATTGGTTCCCTAGGTTGAACTTTGGTGGAACAGAACTTTGAAGGAGGGGGTAGGCGTTGATTAACACCCCTCCACTTGAGAAAATTCATCAGATACTTGGGGACAGTGGAGGCAGGGCTGAGGAGTCCCATGGCAAGGGTGCCTCTGAGGGGTGTGCTGTTGTCCCCAGCAGGGGCTTTTGATGTGTGTGGAACCATTGATGGTGGCTGAGGACACCTAGGCCAGGCCTCTTACCTTCACTGCCTGAGCTACAAAGTTTGTAAGAAGCTGGTGGGCACATGAGCACTCCCCACTCACTTACCTGTCTTGGCATGGGTGCCCAGGGTATGTGTGCTGTAGATACTATGATGTAAATTGTCCAAGGACCTGGGCAGACCTTCTGGGGAGGTCCCTGTGACCTTGGACATGCAGCCGCTTAAGTCCACCATGTAATACCATCCCCATGCACCTGTGTGGAGCGCGCCCACCCCCAGGGCATCGAGAGCGGAACACCACCCTCCCATTCTTGCTTCTGTGCCTCCCCCAGAGGAAAGTATGCGTTTCTGTCCCCACACAGGAGCCCTGTGTGACCTGCCCAGGAACACCCTCTGTGTCTCTTTCATAAATGTTTTCTGCTCATGCGTAGTTACTTGTAGGTTTCAGATAGTCCCAGTTTGTTACTTTAGAGATTTTAAAAAATATACCTTTTATTGGCCAGCTAGCATTTTTTTTTTTAATGTGTAGTTTTTCAAGACAGGGTTTCCCTGTGTAGCCCTGGCTGTCTTGGAACTCACTCTGTAGACCAGGCTGGCCTCAAAATCAGAGAGTCACTCACCTCTGCCACCGGAGTGCTGGGATTAAAGGAATTCAAGGCATGTGCCACCACTGCCTAGCCCCCACTCAAATTTTTTTTTTTTGGTTTGTTTTTCGAGACAGGTTTGGTGCCTGTCCTGGCTCTCGCTCTGTAGACCAGGCTGGCCTCAAACTCACAAAGATCCGCCTGCCTCTGCCTCCGGAGTGCTGGGATTAAAGGCGTGCACCAGCACCGCCTGGCCAAAAAAAAAAAAAAAAATATTGTAAGTTAACATTTTTTTCATAGTTCTGAGCGTTTGGCCTGCATGTATGTTTGTGCACCATGTGTGTACCATCATGTACCAGTCATGATGGATGATGACTGGTGCCCATGAAGGCCCGAAGATGACATAGGATCTCTTGGAACTGGAGTTTCAGAAGGTTTTAAACCGCCAGGTGGGCACTAGGAATCAAACCCAGGTCCTTTGGGAGAGCAACCAGTGCTCTTAACAGCTGAATCATCTCTCCAGCCACCAGTAGTTTCTTTTTTCTTGATTATCAAATCTATTCAGTCC